CTGACGGCGGGTGCATGGGATGGCATTGGATGGCATTTTCACCCGTTGGCGCCCGCCGAGCGCCCGCCCCCACGGCGTAAACACTCTCAGACTTGCCCAGTGAAACCTCCGCCACAACGGCAGCCCGCTGGAGAACTGTTATGCTCGGTGGACACGGTCGCACACGCGTAATCTCTTTTCCCACGCCTGAGAGCGCGAGTCATTGTTGGACAAACCGAAGCTCATCAGGCAGCCAGCCGGACCGGCGGGCTCCGGCTCTGGCGGCTGAGAAGCGTCGGGGTCTCGGCTGGTATTCCTCCGAGGCCAGCGAAGCGTCACACCTGAGACTGGCAGCCCCCGTGCGTTCAGGAATGGCGGCGGCCGGCGTCGCGGAGAGAAACGCGTCGACCCGTGCCGGAGGCCCAAGTGTACGTGAGCACTGTTCGCAGAACGCTAGTGTTAGCAGCTTTCACTGCATCGCAAGTGCCCCGGCAGGTGTGCTGGGGGGGGGGGGGGGGGGGGTCGTAGTGTTTCAGTGCATTGCCTCATTGTTACGGTGGGCTTCCTCACCACACTGGCTTACTGTACGATTTCCTCACAGTGCTCCGAAAGTTTTCCTCACTATTATTCACCGCTGCCAGAAATCTCTACAGTTTATTTTGATATCTGGCCTGTTCGCTTCGTGATCGCCCATCATCCTACACCTCCGTCTGTGTGTGCCTTCATCCGGTTGTTTGCCCCCTTGTATTCGCCTGTCTGCGCTTGTCTGAGTCTGTCTCCGTTTGTGTGATTCTTTTGGCGTTGGCCTGCGCTGTCTGCGCTCGCCTGCATCCGCGAGCGTCTGCTTCTGCTTCAGCAGCGGCGCGCCGTTCTGCCGCAGACATGCCGTCCGCCCGCCTACTGCCGGCCGCTCTGCTGCTGATGCTGCTCTGTATGGTCAGCAGCGGGCAAGCGGACGATTCACGCACCAGGCGGCAAAGTGAGTAAGATGACGGTGACGACGGCGTCAAGCGGTGGGTAGTGTGCGATGGTATAGGTAACTGAGTTGTGCGCATTTCAAATATGTGTTGTACAAAAGCGGCTACAGCTTTTCCGTCAAACTGATTGTTTTACTTTCCTCTGTACATTGTGGTGATGATTGAAATAGCTTATTCACTTCCTTTTCAATCAGTTTAACTGTACCATTCCGTAACCATCACTATGAGAAGTAAAAAAACCTGTCCGGTATAAATCGCACACTTTAATAGCTGGCTCTTGACGTACAACACTAATAAAGCGCATGCGAATTCCATGCCACATTATAGACAAGCTTGTGGTTGCGGGATGTGCTTCGCTTTGTCAATCGGGACGCTAAGAACTTAAGCACGCATGAACAAATAAAACAGTAGCTCATATTGCACAGTCAACAGCAGCACATCAACAGTTGATTAGACACATGGACCAACTCAAAAGGCTTACGTTGCGTGGTACGCTGGACATGCAGGTGCATACATGAACTACAAAGATTGCGATTTTCTTCATTAGAGCGGTACGCCGTCACATGACAAAAATTAGCAACTTCTTACCTAAATGTCTATATATGCTTGCATGGAACAGGCAACGGGAACTCTGCACTTCATACAAAAAATACCAGCATGTATTGCTTGGGCGTGTAGTGGTGTAGTGGAATTCATTTTCCCATGCTCTGGGCTCGTCGAACAGCAAGGCTTAGGGGTGCTACGATAATATTTGAATATTGGTTACCAAACTTGCATTGGTCAGCGAATACCTGTGAACCATTCAGCGGATAGATAGATAGCATGTCACGGGATGTCCTGTGGTGTCTGGTTCTTTGTAAAAGAATGTAGTCAGAGTTTAATAAGTTTTTTTTCCATCCTTTAGAGCGATCACCATTCCTGCCAATAAACAGTAAGTAACAACGGATACTTGGTATCTGCGAGCACTTGCCAACAGCACCTCCGAGCTTGTACTGCATTCTCTTCCCCATGAACATAAAAGTTCACGCTATGCTTGATCTGACAGATCTGGCACTGTCAGATCGCCTCAGATAAGGCCAATCCGTCCATTCTTCCCTCACCGAAAAAGCATCCGATCCATGCATGCCTCACCCGGCCGGATCCAAAGGTTGCAACAAACCCGCAGACCGCACTGGACCGGGAGCTGGCCGTGTCTGCCATCCGAGCGTCTCGCCGCTTGCCCAACATGGCAAGACAGAGCCGGCCATGTCATCGGGAACACCTGCCTGGCATCGCTTATCGGAGTTCAGCCTGAGATGTGGGCTGGCTGCTGCACCGCGACGTCCTCCACCCCGAACCCCAAGCGCCAAACCGCTGAACGATTTGAGCCGCTCACATGCCAGGCGCTCTCAAGCCGCCACTCGACCCGATGCACAGCACGTGCCCTTTTCGCTCTTGCCTCCGCTCTGTGCCTGCCGCCTCTGGGCGCGTTCTTGGCGGCGAGCGGAGCTACCTGTGAGTGTGCTGATGCCGAACACGATGTGCACCGAAGGACTTGGACGCGACTCCCCGACATGCCTGGACTGGTGACTGGCCGGTGACTGGGTGAATGAAGTACGGCCGCTGGGCCAGCGCTCGGGTGACGGGACTGGTGACTGGGGTGCTGAGTCTGGTGGACTGAGAACGGCCACCAGGCCAGCGCTCGGGTGACGGGGTGCTGACCCGGGTGGACTGAGTGGTCACCAGGCCAGCGCTCGGGTGACGGGACTGGTGACTGGGGTGCTGAGTCTGGTGGACTGAGAACGGCCACCAGGCCAGCGCCCGGGTGACGGGACTGGTGACTGGGGTGCTGTACGGTACAGCTGACCGACACGGCCTGACCGCTCGACCGTGTCACGCTCGGCTGCTACGGCCTGGGTGACGCACCGCAGGCTGGGGAGAGGTACGGCGCAGCTGTGCCACCAGTCGTTCCCCACGGAAATCCCGCCAACCTCAGGCGTCGAGTGTAGACGTGCGCCGTACGCGAGCGCCCGCGGCTGGGACTTCCACCGCCGCCAGCGTGCACGCTCCTTGCGGTCTTGCCTCGGCACTGGCTCTGTGGAGCTAGGCGGCAAGAAATTCTGGCGACATCCTGGGCAGACCTGCATGAGCTGTGGCAATCCCCTCGCATGCGACCTTTTTGATATGTCGGTATGATGGCGGATGTAGCGTGCAATGTACACCCCAGCTGACCTCAAATCACCGTAATTCGATCGATGCTCCTGCAAGGGCACACCGTGTGATATTCTTAAGACACGACTACGACTGAAAATCCCTGTCGTAGTTGTGCAAAAAGGCAAGTTCAAGAACTAACGGCATGGGGTGAAACGGATGAACACCAAAGAAACGGCCTTTAATCGGCTTAAAAATTTACCTTGCTGCAGTTTTGTCTTGCAACGGCCTTCTGAGCGGGCGGTCGCGGTTTGGAGGGCCCCGGCCCCAGACCAGCTCTATGCCCGCCGCGTGACCCCGGTAGCCCGGACGCCACATCCCACACGGCAGCCACGGTCGCCCGCGTAATCGGGGTGACTGCTCGCAGTCACGATCCCAGGCAGACGGGGGCCGACCGCCAGCGGCGGAAATACCCGGCTGTGGCCACACAGCAGCGGCCGGCCGCCGGTGTCACGCTCAGTCGCCAGGGCCCCGCCAAAAACGCTGCGGGGGCTTGCGACACGGCGCAGCCAGGTCTGCTGAGCCCTTTCGCTGGGCTGACGTGACGTCATAGCGATGGCCCCCGTGCCTCAGCGCTAGAGTCGGGGGCTGGTGGAGCGTTACACAACGCTTCCGTCTGAAAGGTGCTCATTGTTCAGTGATGGCTCAGAAGGGAAGTCGTTCAATTGTGCCACTGCCGCACCACTTTGCGCGGCTGTGGACGCAATATTTCCTGTCGAGGTGGCGCCACTTCGGTTATGCCGGTAATTAACACCTCATGAGTTCCATAATGCAGGCAACATAGCATTTTACCGCTGTGTTGATCACGTACGGCGAGAGGAAATGGAAACCCACTTCACACATTGAATGCTTCAGTCCAAAGCACAATTATTTCAAAGTCGTTATTAACTGAACACAAGCACACTAAATAGTAGGAAAGAAATGACAAAACCGTTGTGAAGTATGTATGAATGCATCCATAAGAAACTAAAACTAGGCGGTAATATACTCAGATGCATCATCTCACTTGGCGTTACCAAGACTGTAACGCGGCGGTTAGGCCTCGGCTATCTCAAATATGCGACTGACGAGGCTCGTTTTCCGAACCTCACGTCAGGCTCCACATACGCCACTCAACCATACGTATGCCGGTAGAGTGTTCGGTGTAAAACAAAACAAAAAATGGCACGTTGGTCTGAAGATCAAACCCATGAATTTCTGAACGGCTAGATACTTCACTGTCTGATCGTGTTTTAGTATCAATGGTACAACCGGTGCGTGAACCTACAGCACCGGCAGAAGCTTGTCCTGAGCCAACACAAACGTGGATCAATGCATCTGGCTAAATTTTGTGCAAGCCGATGTAAACTCAATATCCCTCGAAATGCATAGCGCAACATTTGCTTGTTCTAGCAGAAGCAATCAGGATGTGTCCCTGCACCTTCGGATTTTGTGCACATTCGTGCTTGTGTGGAGGGATATCAGAGCTTAGTAGACATGTCAGGTGGTGGCGGTGGTTGTTATTATCAGCAATTTGTATAAATGACCTAACACAGCTCATGCGATAACTGTGTATAGTTTGAGTCCATAAAGTAAGAGCCGAGTGATAATTTGCCTCTAACAGCATAGTTAAGTTGTGAACACTGCACAAATCCCGCTGTTAATACTGCACTGTACTGCTCGAGATAAACTGCACGACCACCAGCCGACCGACTAGGCCCGACGCTAACGACTAACGCCTCAGCCCGCAGCGCAGTTCGCTCTGTAACCCGCTCCCTCAAAGACGGACTGACTGACATCCAGGACGGCCTGGCCCAGCTGAACGCGGCCGTGGCACCGGCCGTGGACCGCGGCGTGGCGCACGTGCGCGGCGAGCTGCTGCCGGCGGCGCGCCGCAGTGCGCAGCGCCGCCTGCACGTGCTGCGCCACCGCATCCTGCCGGCCGTGCGGCGACGCGCCTACCGCGGCATGCTGCTGCTGCGCACGCGCGTCTGGCCGCAGCTGGCCAACACGACGGTGCGCCTGGCCGGCGACGTGGCGGCCGGCACGCGCCACGTGGTCGACATGGTCGAGACGCACGTGGTGCCGAAGGTCAGCCGCGGCGCCGAGCTGCTGCGTCGCGCCGCCGAGCCGGTCCTCTCCTCCGCCATGGACCGCGTCGGCCGCACGGTTCTCGGCGACGAGAATCACGCCATGGTGAAGGGCACGCTCGGCATGGCGCTAGGCCAGTTCAACGAGATGCGCAGCGCGATCTCGAACCTGACGAGCGAAATCACGTCGGCCCTCTCCCCAGCCGCCGACGCCGACGACGCAGACGGCGCGACGAACGCGACGCGCGACCGGTCGGACGACTCGCGCGGCCTGTTCAAGGACCTGGTGAACGGGGCGCTCTACCTGGCCGGCACGCGCGTGCTCGGCGCCAACGTGACGGACGCGCTGGTGCCGATCGCCCAGCCGCTCGTCAACCAGATTGTGCCTGACCGCGACCCAGTCGGCTTCAACGACGGCCGCTTCGTGTTCGGCTTCGGCAACGGCGCCGGGGCCGGCTCCGGCGCCGACAAGGACGATCAGGCAGCGCCGGCGGCGACGGCGGCGGCGGCGGCGGTACCGGAGCGGCCGCGGCCCTGCACCACACCCCAGGGCGGCCGGGGCGAGTGCCGCGACCTCAGCGCCTGCCCGCAGCTGCTGCTCGACCTCGGCAACCTGCGCTCTAGCATCTGCTTCCAGCAGATATTCGTGCCGGGCGTCTGCTGCCCCAGGTGAGCCGGTGCGAGAGAGGCCGGAGGAGCGTGGCGAGCTGCCTACCGCACTTGGGAAAAGGATTCCCACCCTGTTGATTCGACTAGGACAGTGGTCCGGGATCAGGCATGGTGCTGGACAAAAGATGCTGTGTGGTTCGATAGCACGCATATTTTCAGCTCTGGCGTTGAGTGCGCCTCCACTCTTCGAAGATCACATGCAATGCCCGTTAAGAAGATGAGCATGTTTGTCACCTATCTTACATGATCTAAAGCTCGAACCTCAAACACGGCGCCCCGCTATGCCTGTTCGTGACGTGGCTCACCTCGGCTGTCGGCAGCGGGACGGCGTCGCCGGCGGCCGGCGCCTTTCCGGGCCTGGCCCGACCGACCACCACCCGGCGTCCGTTCACGCCGCGTCCGACGGCGAGGCCGGGGACGCGGCCGCCGCGACCGGCGCTCACCCAGCGGCCGGCCACGGCGCGGCCTCCGCCCCCGACCCCACCCGTGACCCAGCGCCCGGCGCCAGTGCCGGCCGTGCGGCCGCAGGATTTTGGTGAGTGGCGCGCGTGGTGGCCGGGAGGCAGCTCTACGAGACTGCACCCCTGTCCGCCTTTGGCTGCAGGTGCTGTGTTGCTTGCAAACGGCGATTTGGCATGGGTTTCCCGCTGCCACGCTGTTGTGTTTGGTAGTACTCGCTGATTGTCCTGTGAAGCAGCTGGGCTTTGGGTAGGTGTTTCGTTTTGGGGAAAAATATTCTGGCTCTTGACATTTTTAATTGTGCTTGGGCTCCGTCACCGCTGTATCCTAATCTCGCATGTCCCTGAGGCCTGAGTCACCTCACTTCATGCGTTCTCGGTGGCTCCAGTGGCCTGACCCACCCCTCGCTCTGTGACCCCGATGACCCGACCCCATCCCTTACTCCGTGACCCAAGTGGCCTGACCCCACCCCTTACTTCGTGACCTCAGTAGCCTGAACTCGCCTCTTGTTCCGTGACCCTAGTAGCCTAAACTCAGCCCTCTTTCTGTGACTCCAGTGACCTGACCTCACTCCTCGCTCCGTGACCCCAGTGGCCCGCTGTTACCGCTGATCTCGTGACCCCAGTGACCTGACCTCACTCCTCACGCCGTGACCCCAGTGGCCCGCTGTTACCACTGGTCCCGTGATCCTAGTGACCTGACCTCACACCTCGCTCCGTGACCTCAGTGGCCCGCTGTTACCGCTGATCTCGTGACCTCAGTAACCTGACCTCACTCCTCACTCCGTGACCCCAGTGGCCCGCTGTTACCGCTGATCTCGTGATCCCAGTGACCTGACCTCACTCCTCGCTCCGTGACCTCAGTGGCCCGCTGTTACCGCTGATCTCGTGACCCCAGTGACCTGACCTCACTTCTCGCTACGTGACCGGCAGCCTGCGGCCAGCCCCAGGCGCCTCAGTTTCGGATCGTTGGCGGCTCGGAGTCCCGCCCCGGCCAGTGGCCCTGGATGGCCGCCATTTACCTGCACGGCAACAACCGCAAGGAGTTCTGGTGCGGCGGGTCACTCATCTCTCGCCAGTACATCATGACGGCCGCCCACTGTACCAAGGATACCAACGGCAAGAGGTGACCGAGACTGTTGGTCTGAGACTGAGACTGAGTTAGATCGTCTGGTCAGTGTTATAACGTCCACGTAACGCTGAATATAACGTTGTATATGCAGCTGAATTATTCACCGCATTGGTTTTGTTTTACCGATATCCGGTGTTGTTCGGAACGCTCTAGAGCAGTAGTCATGCACTGAATTAGTTAAAGCCGCACGGTATAGCTTTCGTAGAATAGTGTGTAGGCGTCTGCTGCTCAAGGTTGGAAGTTGTCAAAGCCATTTGTGTGGCACTTCAGCGTCGTTTCTCATCACTGGACGCCGCAGCGGTTTCGCTTGGTCGATTTTCCCTTCCGACCGTCCGACGTCTTCCGAGTGCGTGCAGGTTTTATACACGAGCCACGCGTGCGCACATGCACGTACACACCGCACACCGCACGTACACACGTACACAGCACGCACGTTGCCTTGGTTGCAGCTTCCACCCGCGGCAGTTCACGGTGCGGCTGGGTGACTACGACCTGAGCTCCAGCCAGGACGCCTCTGCGCCAGCCGTCTACACTGTCACCTCATACCGCACGCACCCAGACTTCAAGGTAAGCCAAGGCGGCTTGGACCCAGTGCATATGTCACAGGTCACGCTGGGCACGCGGAGGTCGTCCGGCGGTGAGCGGGAAGGCGCTTACGGTCAAGACGTGACGACAAAAGGGGCCTATACCAAGTAAGACTGGTGTTATCTCCCTTCAAAGCCCGCGTCTGAGCCGGCTTAGGATTGTCTCAGCTGGCCAAACAGTGTTCCCACGCTGATCGTAAGATTCGCTGCTATTTTCGCCCGGTTCAGTTGTTGAGTATTGCTTCAGCGGTTGCACAAAGTATTGTGACGGGGAGTATTTAGCAGTCAGATTACACGGAGCGTAGTCGCGAGCCACGGAAAATGTTCAGTCAAATCAGATCAGTGTTGAGAGCCGCCATTACCAATCGATCGGAGATGCTGCACCGTTTGCGGGGTATGCGGCGACGTTTTACGACTAATCTTTGGTTGCCGGTGGATCGTTTGCTCATTCTGTAATGCCACCTGTCAGCTCTGAGGTTATCATCAGGACCGGTCAGGGTGGCCGGCTTCATAGCTGTGCAGATCATGTGGGACCGTTGTTCCGTGGCAGATGATCTTGCTTTCCGCTGGTTCGAGCACCGTACAAATGTATTCCGCCCTCACTGAATGCCACAGAAGGACTCCATTGAACAGGTCGAAACGCGAGGAGTGATGGATGCTCCACTCCAAATATGCACTCAGCTATCTTTAGAAACATGAGGCATGAAATTGGGCCTTAACATTTTTTTACGCGGTTTATCACTATCTTGTTCATACACGAGCACATCGAGCACCAAGTGTTAGTGGCTAAACCGCAAATTGAGCCCCGTCGTGTTCAAAGATTTGTGGCAATGTCTAACAGTTTGCATAAACCACTTTGTTCTGCAGTCCCCCAGATTGAGAGGGTTTATTTCAACAGTGAACCATGGACTCAAGAGAACTTGCACATGTAAAACTTTAAGACTGTAAGACTCAGCTGTCACCTTTTTCAGCATATTTGTAGGGACAGAGAGCCAACTCTTACACAGAAAAACGATCAATGTGAACGGTTTGTCCCGGCTCGGCCCGGCCGTGACTTTTCTGGACGCTAGCACTTTTTGAGATCATTGATCATATTATCGTGAAGTCTTCATAAACAAAACCACATTTCTTTATTTTCTGTATGTATGTATTTTCAGTCAATTTATAAAAGGCCGCTCGATCAGGGTTTGTTTTTCTACGATAACGCGAATTTAGCAAAATACGGCCGTTCCCATTCCATAAACGTGGCCGACCTGTGAACTTTGCTTATCGTGAAAAAGGTGTACAACACTGGTCGAACACGGGCCAAGATATCGGCGACCGGGTGCCACAGAGACATGAGGCCAGCACATGTTCAGGCAGGAGAGAAACTGAAATTTCGCTAGTCATAGTGTATGTGTCGATGTGTGTAGACGTTCACACGCTCTGGAATGCAATATTTTTATTCGCCCATTTGTCTGCACGTGTAATCCCCATGCGACCTTCAAAATCATGATGGTGTTACGAGATGGCCCTAAGTTCAGTGCGATTACGTGCATTGTATATAATGCTACTAATGGCGACATAACGCATTACGTTCACCCTGATAGGGTGTCGGTACCAACCCCAAGGTTTTTTGAGAATATTTATCCGGAGTGTTGTGCAATCACGCCCAAATTTTCAGCTGCCTATGGGGCATTTATCGCGCGTGTTTTTACACCAAAAACGTGTTCCTAGCTTTTCTGGTTTTGGAGCAGCGGCTATTTCTGAGAAACACTGCACTTCAATCTACAGCTGCCGCGGACGGCGGGTGGAAACCGATGATACTGCGAAATGTGCGCAGCGGGTCGCCATTGTTACATTGTCGAAGCAATATATCTTGAATCTTTCTCATAAAGCTCAAGCCACACAAAAGTACGCATCATTGTACTCAGAACTGAACAAGGAGTATGCATGCTTAAGTTTTGTGTTGCCACAATGCATATCACAGTATGTATGATGCTGTAACGCTAAAAATGCGGTTTTCACGAAGATTTGACCTTAGACCTGGTGTATCAAGGTTCGTTATTGACCTAAATACAAAAAACTGCGCCCAATTGTGAGATCTCGTTGAAGACAATCCACATGTATTTTTTTAAAGTCTATCTTCATTGCTTTAAAGAGGCCTTCCGGGATCGCATTGACTCCCTCCCTTCCCCCCCCCCCCCTCCCCTCACCACCATCACCACCTCCACCCTGTCATTTCGCGTTACGAAAAACGGCGATTAGGGCGAGGGCCAAGTAACATTTCGGCCAGCCTTGGAGCGCTTCTAATCGTGTGGGCAAATGCATGGCTATTATAGAGTTTTCCGCAACTTCCACTCCAAAGAAACAACTGAAACATATGCCTGGAGCTTATATCAATACCTGACACGGCTGCCGTCCGTTTGCAGATAAACGGCTTCTACAATGACATAGCGCTGTTCAAGCTTGAGCGTCCCGTGGATCTGAACGAGTATGTGATCCCCGTGTGTCTGCCGGTGGAGTATGAAGGCAGCCAGCTGGACGCCCTGGTCGGACGGACGCCATCCGTCATCGGCTGGGGAACTACCTACTACGGTACGCTCTCTGAACAGACGCGGAATCCTGTACCAACAGGAGATGAGTAGAGAACCTCATTAAGCCAGAACATTGCGGCATATCTTGACGCAATTTGCCGGTTTCGTTAAATACTGTTCGCTGGCTTGTTTGTTCAACAATACCTTCAGGGGCGCGAGAACAGAAAAACAATGGAAAAGTAATATTGCATTTTGAGCTCATTCCATTGAAAGCTGGTCAAGTGGCAACATTCCGTGTCTGTAATGACTGATAGGTAAGATGAGCCCGCCCATTGTTCTGGTTACTCACGTCACGGTAACACGAAGCATTATCATAGCCCTGATCTGCATCCGCGTGAACCAACTCTCCTCTCCTTCTCACGTGTATGGTTCGCAACTCTAGTCGCGCCCTATTGCTGTACTCGAGCTTCCCTTTTTCTCCGCCAGGCGGCCAGGAGTCGGCGGTGTTGCGTCATGCAGAGCTGCCTGTCTGGGGCCAGCAGGACTGCGACAATGCCTACTTCCAGCCGATCAGGGAAATCTTCATTTGCGCCGGTTACGCCGACGGCGGCAAGGACGCCTGCCAGGTACGCCGCAGCTGCGCATAGAACACGCCCAGTTGCGGTGGTGGGCACACAAAGTCCAATGTACCAGCTACCCTCGCATGAACACAGGAAAGCCCAGTCTTTCCGATCAATGCGAGTAGAGTGGGGAAGTGCAGCAGTCTTGTGATATTTCTGCATGACTTTCGCTTGCAAATGTTTAGGCTGCTGGCGAGTAAAGCATCGCTCAAAGAGGGGCGGTACAGTGAATTGTATGTTACTACAAGATGTGAGATGATGGCCTGCATAGCGGCTTGAAATGTCCAACAACTCGCAGTGCCCGGTGATTTACCTACATGTCCCAAAGACCCCTGATTTAGCGACGTATCTGACTGCACATCACTACATCATATCTTCCTGGGATCTGAAAGCTGCCACGGTTTATATAAGCAGATTCACCACTGCGTCATTCATAGGCAGTCACACAGCTAACAAACCGGCGGGAATGACTCCGGCTGAACTTAGCAGTCAGTCTGAGTTGAGTGAACTCACGTCAGAATAGTGCACGGCTGAAGTAACGGTCTGTATACTTACCGTGCTGTTTCAGTTTCTGTCCCGGCGTGGAAATGCATGGCGGCCTAAAAAATCGCTAACACAAACGATTTTCCCGGCGCACTGATGGAGGTGCCGGCCGAGATAACAACAGGCAGCCAAAATCGTCAACCAATCAGAAACGGTGCACGCTGGCCCTTCTGTGCGTGGCCCGAACAACGAAAAAGGGCGCTCTGAAGAAGCTAAAAGCTTAAGGAATGCTTGACTTCGTTACACGAAATGTAGTGTTGATTTTCGTCGCTAACTGCTGCTCCACTTTCATGTTGCGTTTCCGTGATTTGATCGTAATCTAATGTTGCAATCAAATTAACTACCGACTGGAGTTAGTTCAATGTCGTACATTCAACCTAGTCCGCAGCTTAATTGCCGGATGTGTCGGGTTCATTTTCGTACACGGCGCTTATCGCTGAAGCCTAGGACGTTCTGTGACAGGAAATAGAAAGGCTTGACTTTATTGAAGATCCGGGGACCACCAGTCGTCTTAGAGACGCCATGAAGCTTGGAGTCATGCAATATGGTACGGCAGCTACGTACAAACCAGGCCCCCCTCATGCGCAAAAAATAAGCTCATAGTTAATGGAGCATATACTCATGGCATCTACACAAACATATGTAAATCAGGGTCATAGCTTCACAGAATGGATGAGGGCTGAGCAGAAAAAGTTAAACAATCTAACCCCAGAATATACCAGCAGAGAGATTTCTCTCCGGATTTGGGCCACCTTTTTCTCAAACTTGAAGGGCTGAAGCCCGGTTTGAGACTGAAAAGGAAACTGCACCCCTGACGCAAATGTAGATTTGCGTGTGGGTCATTTGCCTGCCAAACGCTATAATGGAGTATTACTGTGGATGCTGTCTCACGCCTAGCGATGTGCTTATTGTGGCAATGGCTGAAATGACCGACAGGTAAGCCATGTAGTTCTCTTGATTGTAATGGGGTAGTTGCATATTATTAGGGTGAAAACCAGTGTAACTGGTTTATCTACATTTATGTCTTTGCGGTAATATGCATATTTATATGTCGTGCAACTTCAATCCAGTAGTTGGGAGGGTCATTAAGGTATTCTTGAATGCCGCCAAATTGGTAGTATTCATTAAACAAATAGACCAAAGGAGCGGCGCCCCCATCGCTCGGCGGCTGAGTCTGTCCCCATCTCCAGTGAGCAGATCAGATTAGCCACATGACGAGTTCACGGACTGGGATCCGCTTACTGGGATACTCGGAGGGGGAGGGCGGACGGGGGCGGCGCGGCTCTCCGGTCCCCATCTGCAGCTGCCTGCGAGCGGCTTCAGCTACTCCCACGGCGTTCGCCCTTCCACCCAGGGCAACGGCCGGTCGGCTCGGCTGGCATGCACGGTCCCCATTCCACCCAGGGCAACGGCCGGTCGGCTCGGCTGGGATGCACGGTCGGTGTTCTGCAGCTTCGGGCGATGTGCCGATATGACGCGCCTGCGACGGGTTGATGGATGCCGCGCCCGCGTGAGGGGTCGGTCTTGTCAGGGGCCTGACGCGCTCATTCACTAGCCGCTGTTCCGCGCTGCAATCATGTGTGATCGGCCTTCCGACCGCCCCCTCCCCACCCCACCCCATCCCCTCTCCGGCAGCGGTGCGCTGGACGGCGCTCATCGGAGGGGGAGGGGGCGTCGATCCCACATCGGAACATCGTGCACCGATTCGGCCACCCCCGAGAGGACTTTCTTGTTTCTGGTTTCAATTTGTAGCACATCAAAGCTAGCGGATCATTGCTCATGTGAACAAGAACAATTGCGTGTCGCACCTGGTGGGTGAGTTCAGAGTTCTGTCCCTGCTCGTTAGTCTAGAGTTTCATATCTGATGGGTGAGTTCAAAGTTCGGTCCCTGCTCGTTGCTTTAGAGTTTCATATCTGATGGGTGAGTTCAAAGTTCGGTCCCTGCTCGTTGCTTTAGAGTTTCATATCTGATGGGTGAGTTCAGAGTTCTGTCCCTGCTCGTTGCTTTAGAGTTTCATATCTGACGGGTGAGTTCAGAGTTCGGTCCCTGCTCGTTACTCTAGAGTTTCATATCTGACGGGTGAGTTCAAAGTTCGGTCCCTGCTCGTTACTCTAGAGTTTCATATCTGATGGGTGAGTTCAGAGTTCTGTCCCCGCTCGTTACTCTAGAGTTTCATATATGACGGGTGAGTTCAGAGTTTGGTCCCTGCTCGCTGCTCTAGTGCTACCCCTTGGTGTTTTTGCCTCTGTCCTGTGCCTGAGGCTGTGGGCTGCGCGCCCGTGCACCAAGGCAGCTGGCCGCCGGCGGATTCATGAATCAGCTCAACGATAACAAACATGATGCCCATTTAACGTACTTATGATTAAGCTTCGACTCTTTCAAAATAATTTTTGAGGTCAGAATTCAACATGAAATACGCGCAAGTAGTGCTGAAAGCATGACGTGCCTGCGCTGAATTCGAACACATACCCTACCGGTCGGGGTCGGAGTCGATGTTGCCAAAGTGGAGCGGAGCACGCGTCTTCTGAGCCAGACGCAGGCTTCGGTTTGTGCGTTGTTTTTCGTCGGCTCCGGCATCGTGCAGGCGCGTGCCAACTCATACCCCGAACGAAAATCTACGACGTCGCATCGCACGCTCACGCGCCCAAACCATGCGTCATTCAAACCCCTGGCGAATCGGGGAGAGACTGCTGAGGCCGCACGCGGGCCGGTTTATTTACGTAATCGGCAGGGCGTGCAGCGTCGGCATTCCTGCCGGTTTCCCGCCGCTTTCCAGCTCTAAGCCGACAGCTTGCGCTGACTTAGCCGCCTTGCGGTGCCGGAGCCAGTTGGAGGACTTACAGCGTCTTTAACCGAGCCCGGACCGTCTGCCGTCTGTGGTCCGTATGGACCTGGGGACGCTGAAGTCACTGCGGCGGCACTCTCTGACCAATGGCCAGCACCGCTGACCCGGCAAAAGTCACCGTGAGAGTCGCCCTCTGACTCAAGATGACGGTCATTACCAGGGGTAGGCCCGCTGACCTTTGGCTTATGACCAGAGAACGCGCTTCCGTCCGGATGACCTGAATTGACCCCTGCCCCCGCCCGCAGGGAGACTCTGGCGGCCCGTTGTTGTACTTCGAGAACGGCCACTGGATGCAGATCGGCATCGTATCATTCGGCAACCGCTGCGCCAAGGCCGGCTACCCGGGCGTTTACACGCGCATCACCCACTTCCTGCCCTGGATCCGGGAGAACATGGCGTGAGCTACCGTCACCGTGACACCTGCTTTGACGCCGTCTCGCGAGTCCGGCCTGGGACACGCGACGGCCGCGCGCCCGGCGTGTCGACCCGCCTCCGCCAGCCGCGGCCGGGATCCTGTGATGACCTGACCCGCGCAGCCGCGGCGCGAGTACGGCAAGCCCCGTGCAGCGGCGCCGACTGAGGGCGGACGGCGGCCTCCGTGCGGCGGGGTCCGGCGCCGGTCGGGGCGCGTGACGGGCGCGGCGCCCTGGCGCCCGGCCGGCCGCGCCTCCGGTGCGGCAGGACCGGCCGTTTCGCCGCTGCGCTCGTGTGCAGGGCGCTCTTCCCGGTCCACGGGCCGGTGAAAATGATCTCGGAACGGCGCACGCGCCCGACGCCCGGGCAGAGGCCGGCGCACGCTGCGGGAGCAGCCTGCCTCAGCGGCCGCGCCAGAAGCCGGCTGCCGCGGGGCCGCACGTGGCACGTGTGAGCCCGACGTGGCCAAGTGCGGCGAGAAGGGGTGGTGTACTGGGTGCCTTCGAATGCTGTCCAGTGCCAGTCTTAAGTCAGCGAAGCTACTCGATGGTGTTATTCGGGTGTGCGAGGCGCATGACTTGTATTCGCTGCATATGAGGTACTCATAACGTGCATATTATACCGTTGTTAACAAAGCCATCGAATTCCTACAAATATTGGCCGGACCTCTTGTTCGTAGACGTCAGAATAGTCTACACCTTGATCCATACATCAATAGTGTGTTTAAGCCGCTAGGGACATTAACTTGTTGCTAGATGTGTGTTAAAATCCGTGACCAAATACATGCCAGACTAAATGAACCTTCAGCTTTGTTCTCCCTCCACGCACATTAAAACGGCTTTAGGAGCGGGACGTTTGACGCTAATACGCTGCTAGCTCGAAGCAAGTTTTTTTACCAACACGCCGACAGACTAAAGCCCGGCGCTCAATCTCTCACGGCCGGCAGCTTGCGTTCCACTTTCCTGTTAACACTGACTCTGATGGAGCGCCGGCACGCCATCGATCAAACGAGGAATTCAATCACGGCCGCCTCTCTGTCAGCGCTGTCGCGTCGACAGGCGAGGGCGCGTACGTCCCCGTCCCCTTCACACACACCCCTGCCCGGCGGCCGCGGCGGCTGCAACAGGCCGCTGACTCACCCGACCGTCGCCGTCACGGTCGCCGCCGCTGCAGGCGCCCGGCGCGCCAGGAGCGTGCCCGCCCCTCCTGCGGCGGCGGCTGGTCGCGCGCCGCCCGCCGGCACCGGCAGGGCGCGTGCCGCCCGCCGCCGCCGCCGCCGTCGCCGCCGCTGCCGCCCCTGTCGCGTCCTGGCGGCTGCGGCGGGCCGCCACCTTGAGCGGCAGTCGCGGCCGCGCAGCGCACCGGCGCGCCCGGACGGCGCACCTGGACGCGGCGCTCGCCGACGCACCGACGCGGCCGACGCCGGCTCAGTCGGCGCCGACGGCGGCAGAATGGCGGCGCGCTGCGCCCCGCTGCTGGCGGCGCTGCTCGGGCCGCGCGGCGAGCGGGCCGACCTGAGTGGCCGCACCGATGGCGTGATCGGCGTGCTGTTCGCCGGCAAGTGGTGCGGCCCCTGCGAGGAGTTTGTCCAGCTGCTGCGGCGCTGCTACGCCCAGGTGACCGGCCGGCGGGCGACGTGGCGTGCCCGGCCGTGCTGGGGGCGATGGGCGTGCTCGGACGTGCCGGTGGTGGGGGGCGTGACGTGCATGCCGGCAGATGTGACGTGGCGTGAGGTGACCGCGTGTGTGTGTGGATGTGACGGGACGTGACGTAACGTAGTATGACGAGGTCATGATCCGTGTGTGAAACCGGCGGGTCACGTGCTGTGGCGTGGCGGTGTGCTGCCGCGAAGTTGGTGTGCCAACGGGACGTTGTACGACGGCCGATGAGCTGACGTGACTTGAGGTTACAGTTTGCATTGCGATGTGACACGAGACGACGCGACCGGACTTGACCTACCGGTTGTGGTGACGACATCGCAGGGTAAAACGCCTGGAGAGATGGCTTGAGATATCCACCTGCTGGGGGTATGATGAAGTGTGTACGCCTGTGGGGCCAGCGGATGGTGGCGTCGGCCCTGGACTAAAAGTGGTCCAGCCGGTTTACCTGCCCCCACCCCGTCCCCCCAGTCGGGTGAGGTTTGCGTGCAGTCCAGCGCTCCGTCCTGCTCGGCCGCCACCCGCCACCAGGCAGCTACCGTACGCTCCGCAGCCAGCCGCCGACAGCAGCCGGCTTGTTTTGCTCTGTCAGTCGCTCCCTCAGGCCTGTTTTGTGCCATGCCGAGACGCCCTTTGTTGTCGGTAATGAATGACTCGCCAAGTCGAGCACGTCTCGTGCTTTTGGTGCGTTTTTTCCACGGTCTGAGCTGTCCGCCATCCTGTCTTCATTCACGCTTCATTCAGCATCCCCGCACGCGCTGTTTATCCGGTGTGAGCTGTGTGAATCAGCCATTACTGGGAAGTGACCCTGGCGGAAGCACCAACCTAGCGCCCGCAGCTACTGAGGTGGGTCCCTGTCCCGGACGTCCTGCTAACGGGGGGCTCCCAAGTGCATTTTTGGCCCATCGTTGTCCACACTCCTCTATGTCATTGCCGCAACCTGGTCACCCAATCAAATTCTGGTTGACGTCAGATACTCCATAAGTTCGGTGTGGATACATGATAACGCCGCAGGGCTGGTCATGACCCACACCACAGACTCGGCCGTGATTCTGGTTGACGTCAGATACTCCATAAGTTCGGTGTGGATACATGATAACGCCACAGGGCTGGTCATGACCCACGCCACAGACTCGGCCATGATTTCGGAGCCTTTTGTCCACGCGACGTTCACTCTCAGAAGTCATCCTGTGACCTCGCGACCTCGTCGGTCAGGTGCGCGACAGCGGAGAGCAGTTCGAGGTGGTGTTCGTCTCTGCCGACAAGGACAGGGAGGACTTCGAGCACCTCTCGGCCGACATGCCCTGGTGGAGAATCGACTTCGACGACTTCCCTAGCCTGGTGAGTCGGGCGGTGACATCAGTGCGCGGTCAAATACCTGGCGCAGCGCCGATGGGCCGGCCAGTGACGTCACAACTGAGATAAGCGCCCGCGGCAGCTCCCTGACGTTATCGACGACGGTAATTATTGATTACGATGATCGTCGCTTCAGAGCGCACTGACGGCATGTTCGTGTAAAGTTCAGAGCCGGCAGAGAGGAACTGTGCGCCTGGAGCTAATGCATGAACCACAGTCCTGGCGGCATGATAGGCGGGGAGCATCGATTACCGCTCACACTCCAGCCATCGAACGCGCCGTCCGAAGCCGGAGCTTCGCTTAATGGCTGCCGTGCCCGAATTGAATGCTCCGCTGCCCCTACCCCCCCCCCCCCCCGAATTCCATACTTGCCTCCTGTAAGGCTTCCACTGGAAGGCTGAGTACGAAGCGTCGTCGAGAAGGCCTTAAAACGTCGCTGCTCCCGGCCGCTCACCCCCGCCGCACACCAAGTTTGTTTGCTCGAGTTACTTAACGATGCCTCAGTCAATTTAACTTTTACCGTTGGCCATATACCCACTGCGTTGAGCTATGACCGGCCGGAGCCCTGCCAGCTGTCCTCCCCCCCCCCCCCCCCCCCCTCCCCTCCCCTCTGTGGACCGGTGACTGATCCAATGTCCGGAGCGTCGCTGCCGTCGGGGGAAGGTCTCACGGCAGTCGTCTGTGGGTCCGCCTGGGCTGCACCGACCGCCGGCGGTTATGGTCCGCCCCGTCGGAAACGGTGGGAACTCTGCACGTGTCCAGGGTCGGCCACTGCTGTTATTGGATTGGGGCTGCATGCGCCGTCCAGATGCGGAAGACGCCGTTGCTGAGTGTGCCGGCGAGCATCATCCGTTGGTACTCAGGGCGGTCATCCACCGGAAAGTCGTGGCGCTGATGCGAATTCCGCTTCAGTTCAGTTCATCGGGTTTCGGCGGGAAGCTCTCGCAGGCCAGGTGCTACTTTGTTTGACCACGGACATTTAGACTGCCCTGGAAGAGCTGATTCTCAGTTTGCTCAGACGGCCGCTTGTGGCGGCGCCCGTCCCGCCTCGTCGCGCCGCGCCAGTGATTATTCAGCCGCCGCGACCCTAAACCGGGCAGACTTAGCCCACGGCCGGCCATCCTGAGCTCGCCTCCGTCCGGGCGGGGGGGGGGGGGGGGAAGGAGCCGGACCCACGCCGCCGCGCCCGAATCTGTCGGTCATTAGCCAGCGCGTCTGCCCAACGCCGCAGCTGGCGACGCCGCGGCCGGCTGTTTTGACGGCGGGCTTTTAGGAAGCGCCGCCCTCGTTCATTACCCGCTCGGCATCGGCGGCGGCCCGGTGCGGCGGGCGCCGGTGCCGACGCCCGGCCCTGTTTGTGCGTGTTTGCACCGCGTCGACGCAGTGTATACAAGCGTCGTATGGCCATCCGCGTCCGTGCCCGCGTTCATTTACACGGGATTGGGGAGCTGTGTAAACGACGAGGCGCACTCCCCCGGTGCGATCGGCTCGGTGCAAACGGCGACGAGGCGCACTCCCCGGTGCGACCGGCTCGGTGCAAACGGCGACGAGGCGCACTCCCCGGTGCGACCGGCTCGGTGCAAACGGCGACGAGGTGCACTCCCCGGTGCGACCGGCTCGGTGCAAACGGCGACGAGGTGCACTCCCCGGTGCGACCGGCTCGGTGCAAACGTCCACGGCCGCGTTTTTGTGAGCGGCTGCGTTCCTGTTACAGTCTGTCGGCGAGGATGTGATGGCAGGCATTAGCGGTCACGCGTCTCAACGGGGATATGACGGCAGGCAGTGGCGGTGCCGCGTCTCAGCGGGGATATGATGGCAGGCATTGACGGTGCCGCGTCTCAGCGGAGATATGACGGCAGACAGTGGCGGTGCCGCGTCTCAGCGGGGATATGACGGCAGGCATTAGCGTCACGCGTCTCAGCGGGGATATGCCGGCAGGCACTGGCGGTGCCGCGTCTCAGCGGGGATATGATGGCAGGCATTGACGGTGCCGCGTCTCAACGGGGATATTACGGCAGGCAGTGGCGGCGCCGCGTCTCAGCGGGGATATGACGGCAGGCATTAGCGGTCACGCGTCTCAGCGGGAATATGGCGGCAGGCAGTGGCGGTGCCGCGCCCCAAATCCGCAACTGTGCAGGTTCTGGGCTATGCTGTCTGCGATATTAATTCTTTCCTCACGAAAGTTTTTGTCTGTGGCGGTGAAGTTTGGACGAGTACTGCTGACGCTGGCAGCAGTCTGAAACATTTTCGTCCGGGACTATTTCTGGCAATATGGCGCAGCTCTGATGGATCAATTCAGGTTATTCAATCTGGATTACATTTTTGACAGCTCAGACACGTTTATGAACAAATGCTTAAGCAGACGACGACCGGCAGTTTGTAAGCCTGGCCCTCCTACGACATCCGGTCTCCTCAGAACCGAATACCGACGGAATGCGTACGATACCAACCCAATGCATACCAGCCGAATGTATACCACATTCCATTAAAATAAACTTTTCCTATTTTTGCAATTTTCCGATCCCCATGTATGCGTGGACACAGCGTGTCCATCCTACACGCCGTCTGGATATGTATCTATGGTGGAAAGCCAAGCAAGAAGCTCAAATGGCCCCTACAAGCTTTGGTTCTTAAAACACTGCACAAAAGCCGATGTAAGCATGGTGTAAACCTGTATTTGATTAAACCCCATACATATCGGCATTAATGTCGAATTTCCTCTCAATATGTCGAAATCATTCTAGAACCCAGTGAAGGTGGCATGATTGTCCTACTTCTTTTCGTGCATTCATGGAGCTCGCTTTCTTCTTTCAGAACAAAATGCGCTGCCTTTTCAAAATTCAAGACATCCCCTGCCTGTCGCTGGTCGATATGGCGTCTGGGCAGACTATCATCTCGAACGCCTGCGATCTCGTTCGAGAGCACCCAGACGGTCGTGGGTTTCCATGGCGACCGCGCAGTTACGAGCAGCTCATGGTGGACGGCCTTCTGGATAAGGACGGCCAACTGTGCGACTACAGCCGAATCCAGGGCGCATTCAAGGCACTCTACTTCGCCGCCAACTGGGTGAGTGCTGTAAAAGGTTTTAAACAGAACCGCTATCGACATTTCAGTGGTGTTCAAATGCCGATTCATAAGGAGTAGCTATCGATCCGAGAGCGACGGTGTGTATCAGCCTCCCAAGCATAGCTCGATCCGAGAGCGACGGTGTGTATCAGTCTCCCAAGCATAGCGCTTGCGATACAAGGTTCGGACTGGCAGAAGGTAGCACATCTGGGGTGTTATTTTTCTGTAAAATGCTCGCTTTGTAGGGAAAAAGTGTTTACCAGCCGTTTCATCCATTACTGTATGCATCAGCACATCTGCCGCATTCCCGAAGCCTTTCGGATTTCTAAGCGCTAGTGGATAAGAGTGCAAAATGAAACTTGACGAGGTAATAAGTTCGCAAAAGCTTTATGTAACAGGTCCAACCAAACTGCATCCGCTCACAATTCACGCCAGAGTGGCATTATTGTTGGAGCGATTCCCCCATGGTCCTTGTAAATATTAGATTGTAAGCAATCGTTTCTGAGGGCTGTTTGAGGCGCAGTTCCCTCGGGGGTGTTGGTGAGGAGGCTTTGCTGGAGCAACATGCATAAGTTATGTTGGAGCGCTGCAACTGGGTCAATTTAACGCCGCCACTAAACTAACCCGCCAGACCGCATAAGTCTGGCCATTCGGTCCAGTTATTTACGATCGCGGCAGACGGCGTCTGTCTTGCCAGTAGGCCAGATTACCAAGTGACCTTTCCATGGCCGTGGGCGCCGATGGCCGCCCTGTTTCCAGTGTCCTCCATGCAAGGCCTTCACTCCAGAACTCCGAGAAATGGCCGGGAGGATTTGCAGCCGAGGACTGAAGTTCGAGGTCATCCTCGTGTCTTCAGACAGGTGAGCGCCACGCGCAGACGCGCCTCCACTCGTAGCTTATGGGCACCACTTCAGAGACCACTCTAGTCACAACTCATGGGCGCCTGTCCATAGAAGGTTGGTGCTTATACCTCCCGCTTTGCATTCGGCATTACAACCTATTTGCTTCCTTTTCCGAATTCGGTGACAGTTCATGGGTCAATTTGCATGTCAAAGCTGTGTGTACGCTGTCGTCGCCGGTCGGCGTCTGACTGGACCGAAGCCGGGGTGCCAGCGGATAGCATGCTTCGGGAGCTGAGACGCCGGCAGGGGGCGCGGCCCTCGCGGTACCGGGGAAGTCTGCAGCGCGAATGCAAATGCAGTGGATACGAAGGACGCTGTCAGTGCAACACAGTTGAGTTGGTTGCATGTCGCCAATAGATTGCGCTGCGTTTGATATCATCGAACCGGTCGTGACTGAAAGGCGCCAGCATGGGATGAAACTTTTGCTATTTTAGGGATGCAAAATTAACGTCAGAAAATGAACGGCAGTTATGTGGCGTTGCATGAAGGGCATGGACACGCAAACCAATTTACATCTCCAACTTTTCTGGTAAAGTTCCGCTCATAGGCACCAGCCATGTAAAACTCCCTGCGGTGGCATGCAGTGCCACTGTGAGCCATCCACGAATGCACCCGCCAGATACCAGCCTGCGCTGCTACTGACTCAGAGGCGCCAGCCGGCTGCGCGGCTTCCATCCCCGGAGACGGCGGACGCGCGCGCCTTCCACGACTCTTGAACCTCGATCGCGATCGATGTACCTATTGGCCCCTGGCTGCAGTAATCACACTGTGGGTCCCGTGAGGAGCTGGGAACGATGGCCAGGCTAAAATACGGCGGAGCCGTGCGTCCATTCCGTTATTGGAACACCCTGTGTTGATTGCACCGCGCCACACAAAAGCATCAGCTCCGGAACGGGCTGTCCACCGATAAAAAAAAGGGACAGGCACCTCCAAAGGCATGTTTAAACAAATATGAAATACAACGTTGGGAATGCGTGATCGTGGAATGGTTTATTATATATATATATATATATATATATATATATATATATATATATAATGTGTGTGTGTGTGTGTGTGTGTGTGTGTGTCTGTGTGTGAGTGGGTGTGGGTGTGGGTGTGGGTGTGGGTGTGGGTGTGGGTGTGGGTGTGGGTGTGTGACCCATAACACAATTCATTCCCTGATGTGGAATTCATTGATGTATCCCATTATGTTCAAATAGTGGTGAGCCGTCAGTGATAATTGTGAAAATGTTAAGACGGTCTGACTCTTGCTGAGTCCAGACGAGTCTGCCTTAGATCGGGGAATGACTTTCCTGCCGCTCGAGGAAGCTGCGGAGATATCACTCGCTACTACTTCAGCTACGTTTTCCAAAGAGGAAATAGTTATGTTACTTTAGGGTACCATTTGCCTCTTCACATGTTGAAAGAGGCTATCTGAGACGAAATGTGCAATGGTGAGCTTCTGGCTTCTGTTATGTAGGCTGCCAACCCTCAAGGAAGTCAGCAAAAACTCTTTAGCGCTACACCCCCCGTATTCCCATGTCTACCCTGTACATTCCACTGAAAATCTCAGCCTTTCCTCAGGTGTGTGGAGCTTCGCCATGAGCTTAAATACCAGCAGAACGGTATAAATTCTTCGCCGAACTGAGGAGTTCATTTTCACCATGCCTTGGATACACTCCTGCAAACTTTGCACCTCCAAGTGACAGCTGTTCGCGCATGCCACCGACCTTCGGCGACAGCAGCGGGCTGTTAAAACGTTTGCGTCGATCTACCCCAACGGCATTCTCCCGATGCAGTGGCAGCAACGACCCCGTCGACCTTGCTAAGCCGGTCAGCAGCAATGCGAGGCCTCTGGTGGCGAGACCTCTGGTGGCGAGGCCTCCGGTGGCGACACTTCTGGAAGTGAGGCCTCCGGTGGCGAGGCCTCCGGTGGCGAGGCGTCTGGTGGCGAGGCCTCTGGCGGCAAGGTCTCTGGAAGTGAGGCCTCCGGTGGCGAGGCCTCCGGTGGCAAGGCCTCTGGTGGCGAGGCCTCTGGTGGTGACGGCAGGGGTGAACGGCTGCTCCGTTGAGCTATCCCTTGCCGCGGACCTCCGGTGACAGCAGCGGCGCACCGCTGATCTGCTGAGCGAGCAGGGGGCCGCCGGCCGCCCGTCGGCACCCATTATCGCAGGGATGGCCGGCTCGCCCTATCCGACTCCGGAGCAAATGTGAAATCAATACGGCCCCACTCGACAGCGACACCGACTTAGTTCTGCATCACCGTCCCGCCCGGTGCACTGCATACCAGCTCCTCTGTTCAGCCAACCACGGTGAACCAACGGGCCACCGCATGCATGCTTTCCCGAGCGGCGGACCTTTGGAGGAATGTTGTTATACCTCCTCGGGGGCAAACCGGTCGTTTTCGCGAAATGGGCATTTCTCTGTGATACATTTAGCGTACAGACGTCCCAGGCGAGGCGAGTTTTCGCACACGTGCGTGTTTCGACCGACCTCCTCTGCGCACGAACCAGGGAATATGTCTTATCACGGCCGCATGGCCGGCTTTGTGTGCTCAACTGCCGGACGGCCGGGCTATGCACGCGTCCTTATCTGTGCAGCGACCTGTCAAAAGAAGCGAGTCCGTTGCTAGTCACGCTCTGTTTAACGAGCTGTGACATGGGGGACGGGTGGCCACGGCATTCGTTCTTTTCCGTGGAGCAAACTATCGAACGGCCGCCGTCTGCGATCGACCACCACCTGTCAAGCGAGCTGTCTGGCGGGCGGCCTCTGCAAACGCCGTCTCATGTGCGGCTAACTTTCGGAAGGATCGGCCATGCGTGTGGTCCGCTTTGTATGGCGAGCGGTCGGACGTCGCCATGATACCACGCGCGCGATTTCCTTTGTATAGCAAAATGTCAGATCGGCGAGCCCCAGGAGAACGGCTCCATAAACAGCCGGCTCTGCCACGTCAGAACGCCGCCCAAAACGAACTGTCGGCCGGAGGACATTGAGCCCGGCGGCGGGAGAGGACAGCGGGCAGGCGCGGCTGGCGGGCGGCCATGGCCAGCGCCGTTACGCTGCTTCCACGGCGCGCCACGGGTCCCGATCGTAAACAGAGCTCTGAAAGATGCAGCCGGCGGCAATGAATACTAAAGGGCGCGTGGCCGGCGCCGCCTGTCCCGCCGCCGCTGTTTGTCACGCCGCTCGCCGGTGTTTGTGCCCGGGCCGAGCCCGCCTCTAGGGGCCAGCTGTTTTTGTGCTGTCACCCGACGCAGGTCTACAAGTCAGAGAGCCGACGTCTCATCTCGGGGAGTGCATGCTTGTTTAGAAGGGCTGTCAGTTTTGTCATAAACGGCTCGAGCTGTTCGGAACAACGGAATGATTGTCTGTGAACAATGCACCCATAGCTAGCTCAGAAGTCGCCGTTGGTTTCTGGAGTGCACATGTGTGTCTTAAGAGGTCATTTCTTTGACTCAAGAGGTGGTCTTCTATGCCTGGAGGTTATTTAAAGTGTCATCTGTAACGGCGCTGCGTTGAGCTGCGCGAGTGTTCAGTGTTTTGCCGCGGGATATGTCATTCGTGGGCCGTGTCTTCGTATCATCTTGGCCTCATTTATGGTGCGTTATTCAAGTTTTAGTGATTCTTACGCACCCGGATGTCATCTGTTCATCCCCGTGTACTATTTGTCCTCTTCCAGAAACTATCCGGCTGCCTCCGGTCGCTCTCTGTCTGTCTGAAGGTGTTCTGTCCTTTTATCCTTTGTCTGTTTCCATGGAACCTTGTTTTTGCCCCGCAGGTCCGCTTCTGTACTCTGTCTGCCCACCGAGGTCATCTATTCGCGCCTAAAGGCCCTGCGTCCTCCTTCGGAGATCATCCGCCTGTCCCCGGAGGTCCTCTGTTTACCTCCGGAGGTCTTCTGCCCCCGCGTGAGGAGGTCTTCTCTTCACCTCCGGAGGCTCCCTGCCTGTCTCCGGAGGTCCTCTGTTCACCTCCGGAGGTCTTCTACCCTCGCGTGCGGAAGTCTTCTCTTCACCTCCGGAGGCTCCCTGTCTGTCTCCGGAGAACCTCTGTTCACCTCCGGAGGTCTTCTACCCTCGTGTACGAAGGTCTTTTCTTCACCTCCGGAGGCTCCCTGTCTGTCTCCGGAGAACCTCTGTTCACCTCCGGATGTCTTCTACCCTCGCGTGCGGAGGTCTTCTCTTCACCTCCGGAGGCTCCCTGCATGTCTCCGGAGGTCCTCTGTTCACCTCCGGAGGTCTTCTACCCTCGCGTGCGGAGGTCTTCTCTTCACCTCCGGAGGCTCCCTGCATGTCGCCGGAGGCTGGCTGTTTGTCGCGGTGCGCGTTCAGCCCCGCTTGCCTCGCTTGCAGTATTGACCAGCTCCGACGGCCAGTCGTAAATCGCCGTCCCCCGCCGCCCTTCAACCGCGGCCGGGCGTCATAGGCGGGAGGTGGCGGCTCATTACGGGGCACGAGGAGGGGGACACGCGGGGGTGAGCACGGGCCTGTGCCTGCTGACGCCGATACCGGGTGTGGCAGCTAATGAACAAAGCATCTGATGTAGCGGCCCACTGAGCCCCAGGGTGTGGTTTGGTGAAATGCTGAACCATGGCACCTCCTGCAGCGGCCTCCGGTCGGCGGCAATTGGTGCAGCACCTCACCGAGCCTAGAACTAGATGGGCATTACGTGTAATGTAGGGATAGCAGTGCTTATTATGCGCATCGATTAGGTTGTGTTTTGCGAAAGTATCATTTATATTACTGGACCTCATACGAATGCGCTATTAGGCACATCTCTCCAACTGCAGAGATGAAAAGCGCATCCCATTCAGACTGTCAGACCCTTAATTCGTGACAAGCCGCGACAGACATTTGTGAAGTTATGGAACGGCGCATGGTAGCGCAGTACCCGAGGTACGGTGCTTGGGCTCAGGGGGCCGGAACCGCATACCAGGCACAAAAGTATTTCCCCTTGTTTTCTAGTTGTTGTGGTCGAAAAAATAGTTTTAATCAAAGCACTTTCCCCTCCTTTCAGAGGTCGTCAAGGTGGAAGCGTTTTAGCAAACTAATCCGCTAAAGAACGGAGCCGCTATCGCCTTACCGTCTATTACTGTTAATGGAAGCCTTCACTCTTTTCACGATGGCTTTCAGTGCCGTTTAAAAAGAGCTTTGAAGCAGCTCCGAGTCGTAGCCAGACGATCGCCGGATGCTGCTCGGCAGCGGACGGCGCCAGGAGTTGCGACGCGGCGCTAACGACCCAGTCAGTTCCATGCCCGGCTGAATCACCTAACGATAAAGTAATGGTGCCGCGCTGTGGTATTCCCCATTACCTTTCTATATCAGCCAGCTTTCCCATTTTAGCGTAATGTAGGGTGGCTACTGAAAGCGTCGATTTGCTTCATTTCTCCCGAGTCTCTAAAAAGGGACGGAGAAAAATAGGGTCCGTAAGTTTGGTCTATTCTGCAGAACTGCAATACACTGATACAAACAGGGCTTATTACACATAGCACTTTCCACTTTTCTTATATCCTATATTTACGATTCAACGAACCCGATCTGGCCAAATGGAGCGTGATCTGCCGAAACGTCACAGCTGTGACGCCTGATCTGCAACGCAAGGTTGGCGGAAGGTGATTAACAACAGCATTATTCGCTCGTCCCGAACTGAGCCGAACCATCATTTCAGCACGGCCCCCAGGCTGCTAACTGAACCTTACCAACGAACTGGGCGAACTTAGCTGGGTGAACTTAACAGACGAAGGCCGGTCACTGGCCCGCGCTTATCGTACCATGACCCGGCTGTCGTCACCCGCCTGCAGGACTGTGTAGCCATGTGGACTGCACATAGCCGCAGCCCTAGGCTGACAGTGTCTTACCATCACGCGACCTGACCTGACCTGATCCGCTGACAGGAAGCCGCAGTTGACGCCGTCCTCGGCTGTCGATGCCTCACACTGATTTGACCTGACCTAACAGGACCTTTTCACAGGGTAGCCAAGCCATTTTAGTTGCACCGCGGCGCTGCCAAATTAGGGTGCGATGCCGCCTGGCTGGAGGTATCGCGCCCTAAATTGACCTGACCTAACCCGACCCGTCCGCAGGACGGCCGAGTTTATGGGCTGCACCCCGGCATGGTGCATTAGCTGGTGCTGTGGCCTACCTGACTTGACCTGGGCTGGTCTGGCATGACCTGGCCTCACATGATCTAACCTGACCTGACCCGTCCATAGGACGGCCGAGTCATTCGAGCAGCACCGCGGCGCGGCGCCGTGGCTGGCGGTGCCGTACGCGCAGGCCGGCCGACGGCGCGAGCTGGCTGAGCGGTTTGGCGTGCAGGGCATCCCCAGCCTGCTGGTGCTGGACCAGCACGACCGGCTGGTTTGTCGCAACGCCAGGGCGCACGTGGCCGAGGACCCCCTGGCGCAGGTCAGTGCTGGGCGCTCCCGGTCAGGGCAGGCGCGTAGAATGCCATAAATCCAGGGCTGTGACGTAGCCCTGACTGGGGTCTTTTTTAAAGGTGTTGCGGATAATATGATGGAGTCGGGGCGGATTGAAGCCTGCGCAAAGTTAGTTAACACTTGGTATCGGAACTAGGGTTGGTATACATTACAGCACATCTGACTGCAGGCGGGCCGTTTAAAAGCTGGCCCGGCTGCCTGGTCCCTCCGGTGACTGCCGCCAGTGTTGACCCCTGGTCGTGTCGCAGGCTTTCCCCTGGCAACCCGCGCTGGTGCAGGAGCTGGCAGAGAGCCATCGTCACCTGCTGGACGAGCCGCTGCTGGTGCTGTTCGTGGGTAGGTCTTGCCGGTTTATTGGCTGGTTGTTTCATGGATGCTTTGCGGTTCGTGGTCACGGCTAATGACGCGATAGTTTGGATCCATGTATTATATTTTGGATGCATTCATGTTGTCTTGTTCTGGTGGCGCATGAACTGTCTATAAATACGGGTCACGTGACACGCCGATCTGTCTCATAAGTGACGCCTTCTTGGCTTTGAAAATGGCGTTAGCCTTCTACTGCTGGAACCTAAGTTCTCACTCGGTTACGAAAGGGTAAAGTGATATTACGATGCCATCTTTAATGGGCTATTTTGAGACCAGTTCAGACGTACTTGTATTGCTGGCGCATGCCGCGTTGTTGTCATTCAGCCTAACATTCCGTCCTTGCGCCACCAATCACCTGGCTTATTCCCCGATGCCTGACTATTTTCCATTCGTGTAATTGGTAAATGTCAGTAGTACATCCCGTGGGTCGATAAGTCGCCGGTCATTACTGCGGTTGCTGTGCCTACTTAGACGCCGAGCCGGAGGAGGTGCGGTTCGCTCGAGAGGTGCTGACACCTGCTGCCGAAGCAACTCAGAAGTACCGCACCGACCAGGCCGACCTCATCCGCTTCTTCATCGGCACAGAGGTGGGTCACAACCGGGCAGGCGCGCCACTCAAATTGGAGCCCGACGGACCGTGCCAGCGCCGTGACCCCGGACCAGGTCACGACGCCGCGGGTGAGCCGTGGGCCGCACAGGGAGGTCGTAATCTCATTCACAAACATGACGCCCCTTTGCGGATTTGAATTTACAGCTGGCCGTAAATGTCATGGAGGTCAACCTGACGCAAATGTCCTGTTTGGCTCGCTGAGCCCGACCCACGACGCAGCGTAGCATGCAAAGCAGGGTGCTCCGCACCGGAGCCAGGGCGCTACCAGAATACAGCGATAGTAAAAGGACATCTGAGTCATAACTCACGCACCAGCTGCGACAGTGCGGCCGTGTAAAAATATGGGGGTGGCTCCGAACGAACCAGGCGTTACTCAGCACCGAGCGCCACATCCACTACCGGACGAGACGTGAGCTGACTCGCCCCGTCGCCGATCGATGACTCAGGCCTGGCGCATGGCGTGTCAGAGTCGGAGTCGAAGTCGACTCGGCTCGGCTGACGCGCGGCGCGCTCGTGTGTCCGGCAGTCGGAGGTGGCCGAGCAGGTGCGCGAGACGGCTGGCGTGGACGACGCGGTGCCTCAGCTGGTCATCATCGACCTGAGCCTGGGTCACCGGTTCGGCTTGGAGGAGGGCGTGGCCCTCACGCCCGACCGCGTGGCCGAGTTCGTCGAGCGCTGGCGGCGGCGGCAGCTGGAGCCCACGCTCTTCGACACACCGTGACGTGACGAGACGTGACGTGACATGACGTGACGCGGCGGCGTTGCTCCGTCACGACATTGGTGACGGGTCACGGCCACGACTGTCACGGCTCGGTGCAGCAGTTCGGACGCCCGGGCAACATGGCGCCACTGGACCTCCGAAGCTGGCGCCAGAGCGACGCAATTGGCCGAGAGCGGTACTGCGTCGGACGGAGCCGTGATTCTGTGTGACGGAGCGGACGTGTCGCCGCGGGGCGTGCGGGGCGGCGCGGACGTGCCGCACCGTCTGGTGACGGACCGGTGCCGCGCGCTGCACGCGGGGCAGCCTGCGTGGGGCACGGGTGCGAGAGCCAGCCGAGAGACGTTCACACGAGGCGTGCACGTGTTTGTCGCCGTGTATTGCCGTGAGGACACTGCACTGTGGGAGGTACGTTGCTGAGACACAGTGCTATTTCGACAGCTTCTAGTGTGATGTGCGGCGTTCTTCAGCGATGTCTACGACCAAAAACCGCGCGCGAGGCCACTACGCGTTAGTGACACTCCAACGTACCACCCTGAGGTAACCCGCTTCCCGCAGGCCATTGTTATATGACTGAATGCCCAAGTAGTGAATCCGATGAATCCTGCCATCAGCCATGGTCTGCATGACAGCGATCACCTCTCCCATTGCGTACTAGTCATATGCCTACGTAACTGTGAACGCACCGGGTAGTTTCAAGAAATCATTTGTCCTTGCGGCAAACAGATTTGTAGGCTCTTTGAAGAAGTCGATGTGGCGTGCTGGCGTTAGCCAACTATAGCCTGGAATGGAAAATTAGGCATTAGTATCATATCGTTATGATCACTGTTCTATCTTAAGAAGAGATTGTGCCCGTGCAAGATATTCAATGATTTAGTGAATTCGTTTTAAAAACCTGCTCAATGACAAGCAAGGAAGCAAACATAAGGCAGAAGGCTCCAGTCACTCCAGCAAATGTGTCAAAATTCAAGGTTTCGTGGCGGAAAGTGACACCTTTTACGGATCATTCGGGCCGTCAGTTTTGTACGCCTCGTAATCATCCGCATCCGCTACCTCGCTCTCACATTCATGGATTGACTGATTTTTTGGATGACTCTGGTCTGCATCGGGACGTTGGCTTAGGTCTTTTGGTTTTCATGCTTTTTTCTGAGACGATTGCAAAACACTGCTATTGTCTGCTCAGTATCAGTTGACTGAAGTGGGGGACAACGTAAGACGTTGCTGCTAAATCAGTGTGGACTTCAGCATCGTTGCCTCTTAATATTTGCTTGCAAGTAGTCAGGACTTTACGAAGACAAGATGACAAGGAAAACGTGTTCCCGTCGCTGTAAATATAACGGAAGGCACTGCTAGTTCTTTGCATCGAAATATTCAGTCCGTGGGTGTGTTGTAGCTCACTATTCCCTGTCGTTGAGAGGCAAAGTCGCCTCTACGATGGGTGTTACTGGTCTTACGTGGGGACGCGGCGACACGGAGGTTCAAACACATGGCCAAAGCTGTTCAGATTTCATCTGGCGATGGTTGTGCTTCACCACGGCCCTGCCGCGGCACGGTAACGATCCACTAATTTACCAGGCTCGGTGTTTGCACCGAAGTGGGTCCGGATTTACGAGGAGCGTTGAATGCTTCGGTAAGGAGCTTAAGACTGCACCGGCCTGCCCCTTTTAGCTCAGATTCTGATTTTATGCTGGCCGCGTTCGGGATTCCCCGACACGTTTACTCACCGAAGCCCGCAATAAATTTAACGAACGTGACCGAATGTCCCTAATGCCCCGATGGCAACCACGCGACCGATCGGTGGATGACGGGGCTCTCACCTGCTAGAAGGACCGGACGCCGGCGGAGCGCACCAGGTGCTCGCCCTGCGGTTGGAACCCGTTCTCGTCGGCGATGTACTGTACGCGGAACACCTGGCCGGTGGCCGGGTCCAGGTACTCGTACACGCCGTACACCGAGAGCGCGCCGGTAGCGGGGTCGATTACGCCCGACTGCTGCACGGCCATCCCGTTACTGGTCTCGAAGCCGAAGTCGTAGCCGCCGTCGGTGGCGCGCCGGTCCGTCGTGCGCACGATGGTGCTGGCTCGATCCTCCGGCAAGACGGCAGCCGAGCACACTAGCGCCGCAGCGGCGAGCAGCAGAACCTGACGGTGACAGGTGGCGCTCAGGCTATCAGGTGGCGCCTAGAGCGTGGATCAGTCAGGTACTCGCAGAAGCCAGTCTGTGCGGCCGACATTGATGTAGGGACACGGAAACGAATGTGTGAAGTAGTAGCACTGAAATGTGTGCACACTTTTTGAAAAGGAACAGATATGAGTCGACAGAGAAGCACTAATCGGCTGGCGTCATGTCATCGCTGGCACATTTCTGTCGCGGTCAGACATCTTAACAGCGGAATGCTGCTCTTGGTTGTCAGTGCCTTGACGCAGAATATTTTTTGTAGCTTTTAAGACAGGCTTTAAATAAAATGTAGATGACAGGCGATATGACCAACAACAACACTGTCCACTTAACAGATACTTCAACGACGGAAGATCTACCAGACGTTTGTCTTATCAAATAACGCATGCATATCCGTTTGCATATCTTCCATTACATCAACGCAATGATGCAATGGAAGATATGCAAACGGACACCACAATACTCCCTCGGGCATTTAAATCAGCTAGTTGTAGTTGATAGGCATGGTTATGTGGCATGGTAGGGTCAAATATCCTTTTGGGGTTGCCCAAAAGTTTGGCAATCCCAGAACGTTTCAAAGGTCTAAGCAGTAGAACTCTGAGGAATTTAGAAAGTACAAACTTTTATTGGTAGCTGTAACCTCTGCAGATAATTGCTGACCGATGGCATATTACATACCCGTGTAATATGCAATATAACCTTCGCAACGAATTGCTTACGGATCGTATTAGATCGGTGTGAAGATGCTGCTCGTTGTAAAATGTAGGGCGTGATTACGTATCGGCTTTACAGTTAACATCGCTAGCGTCCATGTACAACTTGAAAGAAGTTCAGTTTTGTTTCCAGTAGGATGGGCGCGTGCTGGTGCTACGAGGCGGGTGCTCTGAAGACGGTGACTTAGCCAGTCAGGAATTAGATCATCCACACATTAGATCTCCTGGTAATTGGCTGTTGTTCTTGCGTTTTTGGGTCTATCGTGATTTTTTGCTATTTTCGTTGCAGTTGTCAGTTACGACGAAAGCAGTGGGACTGAGATCATAGGGTGATGTTGATCTAACGATGTAAATTAATGCAATGGTGATGGTGAAGCGGACTAGGGGTAAGGCAGTTAATTATGTGATTATTATATTCACATGGTGAACTTTGGAAAATATGTAAATATCGAACGGGTGAAAACTTATGTACTAGTGTGACCGAACGGGCCCTGTTATGCAAACGAAGTGTTGTTATCATCTTCATTAAAAGCTGCATACTGTAATGTCTTCGAAGACAATCGCTGGTTGGGCCTGTTTGTAGCATTCAAGGGGAGACCAAGCTAGTTAGTTACCCGCGTAGGTAGGCAAATTGGAGGCAAATTGGAGGCAAAGGCGTAGGCAAATTGGAAATAATGCTGTAGCTTTCCAACCCGCCTTGCTTTCCAGCCTGTTTCGGACGGAGTGTTATGCTGGGAGGTGGATAAGATATGTGCCCAGTAGTTACCCTGCACATGCACATTGGAGCTAGTTTCTTTCTTATGTGCAGTTATCGCGCCAAGCGATGAACGTCAAAGGTGGTACAAAACGCGTTTCTTAATGTTGAAACCTATTTTCGTCTTTTCCCTTTCGTTTAAATGTACAGTGTACGCATGTGCGTAGGCTAGTGTTATTACGCAACTTGTCCATGGGCTTTGATGCGTTTTTAATCAAAGTATGGACTTAAAGCAGGCACAGACACGGCAAATAAAACAGGCACCCGTTATTCCTTCAGAGATAGCGGGCGCATTCGGGGCAAGGGCTTGTTTCTTCGAGGTGCACGGGAGAGCGCCGCTCTAGTTCCGAGACTTTTCTTGATCATATCTTTTTCGTGTGGGTAAGTCTCATTATAAAATCTTTCACTGCGGCAAATGTCCAACATCTTGCATTTCCTACTTCTTCGGGAAAGTTCTGAAACATAACTCATAACTTTTATCTTACTACGGTTGTGGCTGGATATGTATCATTCTCCTATTCTTCCTATTCTTCCAACTTCCAGCAGCTTCCGTCTGCGGCACCGTGGCAAGCAGCGTATTTGTAGGGCAGGTTGGCACATGTGTCACATAATGCAAACGATTGGCGCACCAGCTGTACACGACAGGAAATGCATGTGGCGTGTGCCAACCTGCGCAAGTGGTTGAATATGTGGAAGAGATGCCTGTGCTGTACGGACACGTTTAGCGGTGGAGGGTTTCCCATATTGAATAGGAGAAAAATCATGTGGCTGTAATGGGCGACATGATCAGCTATAGGATACAAGCAGCAAGGTGTTGGGGTCGTGGTGAGGCACAGGAGGCAGCCGCCGTTTCTCGTGGGTTTCACCGGTCTCCGTCGGAAAAAATGCATCAGCTCATCGACCATCTCATGGCGCAAGCTTCGCCTGGCCTTCTATGTGATCCCGCTGGCCCAGCTTGGGACAAGAAAAAGATATTTGAAAGTCCGAATTCGGAAGAGGCATGGAGTATTGCAACTTATACTCCATCATGTAGCTGTAACCGGCATGAAACGATTTTGACGTGCAGGTGCCAAAAATCATGAGATCATACAATCTCAGTTACAGGGCGATGGAGCAAAATGTAACGTTACCAGCCCAGTTCCCTGTATGTATTTTGAACAGTGCATTTTAAGGCCAAGGCCGTTTATTCCTGTTATGGTGATGATGCCCATTAGACGTCACTGCATCTGATAACCCCTTTTGAGCAGTGCTCAGGACTGATGATCCTTTACTTGGTGATGCGTTGTTGAGGCACATTTCGGAGTTCGAAGAGAATCAGTGCCTTGTTACTACCCCGCTCAACATTGGCATGGAATATGCCCGTGGGCGCTGTCCATTGATGCCCCGCGACCCACCTGAGCACAAGGTAACCTTTCCTAAAATATTAGGAACAAGGTAACAGAAACTGAATTTCCAAAAGGGACCCTCACCCTGGCCATTCGGAGCCACGAAAATGATATGCGGCGGACACATCGGCCACCCTTTTGAAATGCGACCGATACGCAGTACGGCGAGTGAGGCACGGATCTCCGCTCAGATACATCAGTCCTAGCGGGGTCGATATCTGACCACACTCGACCGATGGCACCAGTTCGTGAGTGTGCAAATGAAACCGTGCGCGAGCAGCGCGTAACCCTGCACTGGAAATAAAACCCACCAGGAGATGCCGCGTCGTCACTTACCGTCTGCGTCATCATGTCGGCCGAACCGGGAGCGGGGCGAGTGAACCGGCGCACGTTCCTTCCGACAGGCAACTGGTCAGCGTCTCCGGGCCAGTGGCCTTTAAACACCGCCGGTGCGGCACGCGGCCGGCTGGACCGGCCAGGGGTGCCTCGGCCGCAAACGGGTGCCGCTCCTGGGGCCGTTCCGTTCCACTGGCCGCTCACGGGGAGGGGGGGGGGGGGGTGATTCTTCACATTGGAGATATTCAGGGACGCTGATGTGCAGGACCCTGGGAAAAATTCGACGGCCGGATACTAATGTCCGTAATCGTGATGTGGTGCTTCAAATGGCTTTGTTTACCTAGATTGATATTTTACTAATGTGCAGTGTTTGATCCCCACCGGCCTATAACTGGATGCTGCCCTGTTGCGAAAAGGACTGAACGGGCGGGAATGACCATTAAATTGACAACGACCATTAAATCCAGCCACATGAAATGCACTGAGTTGCTCGGATTTCTCTGTAGCCAGATTTGCAGACCGCATTACGCCTGTTCTCATGCAGGTGATCGGACTCTGGCACCGCCGCTACAGTGACTAGGCAGCTCAGGTAACGATGTTGAGGAGCGAGGGCTCGGCCAGATAACTGGTCAGCGCTACTCCAGCCGCATATCATCGCGGCGTGGGGCGGCTCCAATGGGGCCATTGTCTCACACAAGTGCGTGCATTGTTGCAGGTGACGAGCAGGATATGGCCGGGGTGTGGCCATGACGAAGAGCTGGCGCCGAAGTGCGGCACTGGCGACCTATCGGTTATTTCTTGCTGACCTACCTACCATTTAGCTGACGACAATTTTTGGATAAAACTCTAATGGAATGCGGTGACGGGAAAGAGCGTCTTCTTAAGGCGTGTTCCGAACACACGGCGCTTTGTCAGCAGTTACAGATGCACCAGATCGGTGTGCGAACTGATCGTCAGCGTCAGTAATCGTATGTAAAGTGCATGTCGGGTGCACCAGCCATTTGACGACTTGGATACATCATCCGTCGCAACGCGCCGTTTGAGGCACTTAATTCAGCACAACCCTCATTCCAGTTGGACTCGTAGCTTTTGTGATGAAGAAAACATGAGTCACATAAATCGGTTGTTGTTGAATGAGCGGTAGCCGGTGGATGTTGACATCCGTAAAACGGGATTACCCTGAGGTTGCCGCTCGTGCCGCGTAAGCGGATGAGCTATGATAGAATGTGGCGTCAATCAAGCCGCAGCCTTGGAACGTGACATGATTTGCAACGGAAGTTCGAGTCTGGATCCCTCGGAAAAAAAATATGTTAAATATAGCATCACGAACGCTGATCATGGCTTGGACCTGTGGGTATGTAGAATGATTACATGACAAATTATACATGCATGGAAGAACGTAATAACTGCAATGCCGATGGGTCTGCGCGTCGACAGCGGGAAGAAGGCAGTAGTGTGCTCACGTTGTCTGGAACTGGGAAACACGGTCGTTTTCAATCTCAGCCCCGTCCTGAACGCAAAACCTTGCCATACAGTCACAAACACCACCGTGCTCTCAGCACGCTGCGAACATAACCAGGACGCACGCACACTCCCTACAAATACGTAACGCCTGAGAACCGACGTGCCCTTCCAGTTCAGAACCGAACCAGCGGAGCCCGTGCACACCACCAGTGGAGTCCGTGGACAGCACCAGCGGAGTCCGTGGACACCACCAGCGGAGTCCATGCACACCACCAGCGGAGCCCGTGCACACCGCCAGCGGAGTCCGTGGACAGCACCAGCGGAGTCCGTGGACACCACCAGCGGAGTCCATGCACACCACCAGCGGAGCCCGTGCACACCGCCAGCAGAGTCCGTGGACAGCACCAGCGGAGTCCGTGCACACCACCAGCGGAGCCCGTGCACACCACCAGCGGAGCCCGTGCACACCATCAGCGGAGTCCGTGGACAGCACCAGCGCGGCGTGGAGACATTCAACGCTGTGACGCCCAGCAGAGTTCAGCGGACCGCGCATTGCGCAGAGCCCTTTCGCATCCACAGCGGGCGGCTGTAGTCGTACAGAGGACGTTGACTGCCGCGGTGAGGTACCTCCGGTAGTATCAGCGCCGCATCGGGGCCGCATTATGTCCAAGGTCGAAGAGCTGGGCGCCGCCTTGCATTTGAGCTGGCATCTGGGCTCTGATCGGACTGCGTTGCAAATGACGCCTCGGGCCTGCACGCATGCAGCAAACTTATTGATCGTGGTATGTATGACGTAAGACGATGCGTGACGCAATAGGCGACTCCATTTTCACGTTGTCTGGGAGCTTATTGGCTGAAGCCCGCATCATATCATAACTGCATTCCAATCTGTTAATGTTAAATGGCATTCTGAAATGTGGTGCGTTTGCTACAAATCATGAAGCACGGAAGTTACAGCTTCCTACGTCTTGCGGAGGCGACACCAGGAATGATGTTTTTGGGTGATGGGTGATATGCAGTCAATTGGCATACAGCGGCTTGATAGCTGGGAGGGTAAAGTTTCTCCTACCCCATGTGCAATTCGTGCGAAATTCTAGCGTGAAGAAATCAGGCCTGTCAAAGAAGCGCTGCAGCGATCCAGGAGCCTTTCAACACGCGCCCGGGTGGCCGGTAGGATGCCCTTCGCTCGGGTGGAAGGCTAATTTGACCCCCCCCCCCCCGCCCCTGAGATCTCAGGAACTAAGAGAGCTTAAGACATTGAGTTTACAGGGTGTGTTGACCTGTGTGTGAATTCACTTAGGTCAAATTTTGAAGTTTCTAGATCATGACCTTCGAGTCCAATAAGGTCAAAAAGGTCCAATTTCAGGTTGATTTCCAAAGAGCGCCTGGAACCTAGATAACTGTTCTAAGCAAAAGGTCACATGCTCATCTTAGGCCAGTGACCTTGTTTGACCTTGTGAAGGTCATGTGACCAAAACCATACAAGATCGCTCTGAATTTTGCATTTGGATAAGCGGCAAAGACTACGCTATGCAGTATGTTCCGAAAACAAAATGTTGATCTGGGTCATGCTAGGTCAGTGACCTATTCTGACCTACAAAAAGTATATGGAAGGTGTCTAATGCGGTTCCCGTTACCAATAAATTCGAAATGAGCACCAGGAACTATCCCATATAGCAAGCGCCTGAATAACGTAGCACGTTGGTTTTTGCCTTGGTCTGACCTTCATTCCTTACCCTAGGTCTTTGTGCATTCAACTGTTCTGTCACCTAAGAATGTATTTCAGAGTTGTATGGCTTCGTCTAACACTCCGTTGTTGGGTCAGATCGAACGATTCCCCAGAAATCGCGTTCGCTGAAACCATGGCCTGATTTTGACCTGCCATAGGTCAGCGACCTTACAAGGCACATCTAAATTTTTGACGTCAGACAATCCACTATTCGATTGTCTACAGCTATGAAAGGTTTGGTGTGGCTACGCCGCGCCGTTCGGAAACATTCTGGAAAAACCTTCGAGGGTCAATTTGACCCCGATCCGAGCGCGTGTTAAAGCTTGGAGGTGATAGGCATGTCCTTCAAGCATACATTGGACAAAGCGTTGCCGCATTACCAGCACCCCTCTCCTACCCAGCAAGCCTTCAGCCCAGCCTCCCGCGACACTCACAGAGCAGTTCGGGCGACAGTGACCCAGTGTCTGCGGCCCGCGTGTGACCTGGCCCGGCCGCCTCGGCGCCGCTCCAAGCGTGGGGCGGCGGCGCGCGTCCGGCGGCTCCGGCCGGCTTCAGATCCGACCGGCGCCGCCGGCGTCTTCGCGAGATGACCGGACCACATGACCTGTTGGCTTGTATGTTCGACGAGTCATGCTCGCCCGTGGGAAGTCATGCGCCCAGCCTGCGCTGATTGGTCGGACGCATGGGGCACAGCTCTTCGGGACCGGCCACAGCGGCAGCAGTGACCGCACGGTCGACCACAACGGGATGTGTGTGGGGTCGCGGTGGCAGTCCAAGAGCCTCATACTGCGGAAGTGATGAGTCATCACATGGTTGCGTCTCGTCAAGCCGGCTTCTATGCCAATGGCGCTGGAACGGCCTTATCGCTTTGTTTTCGTTGGTTTAAAACTCTCATGGAAGGCTGGTGTTAGTCGGCGGCACTGATCGTTAGTTAGGGCGTGCTGAAATGCACTGTGTAAAATGATACCTGAAGGTATGTCTTTAACCGTGCTGTAATAATGATGGTTCAATGCCTTTTCAATTGTCTCATGGCTGGTGAAAGAACCACGAGCGCGAGAACTAGGGGGCAGGATGGCTCATCTCCCCAACTTTCTGAAAAGTTACCACTGGCTCTGTGGGCGTTGACCAGTAAAAAAGAGCCAATGCTGGTTTAGATCCCCCCCCCCCCCACACACACATCTCTACTCCCACCCCACTCTCCCGCAAATCTTGTGGGACTTCCATTGGCCCTGGAAATGTGTGTCATGTCGGAGGACGACACACCGTCCTCGTATGTTGAAGTCCTGCGCTCTTTCCTGCCTTTATGATACAGGCAAAACGTAAGGACACTGAACTCCGCCTCCTCAGTTACAGGCAATAAAACCTTGAGTTGGTGTCATTTACACAGATTGGGGTGGGATCATTATCGTGTGTGTGTATAGCGCGGATTCCGCTGGATAGGGGCTCTAAAATTAAAAACCCCTCCGATAAAAATGGGGATTGTGACGCTCGAGATCAGGAAGTTCTGGTCCGTCCATTAGTGTATCAGCACGGGATCATTGTAAATATTTTTTTTACATGCGTCAGATTTTCTTCAGCCGTGACGCATGCGCCCGCAGCGTATGACCTTCGTTGTCGTCGAAGGACTTTATGCGCCCAGGCAACGACCTCTGGCGCTCATACGAGGGGCGATTCGGCCGTGATATCGGCAGGCGCGGGTGTTTTTGCCCGGCCCTACCCTGCGAATTTCCTCCCGCCTGACAGCTGTTTGAGGGCCTGGCATACCGGCATGTCTCGAGCAGTGCCGCGCGTCCTCCGCCGGGCCGATTGACATTCAGGGTTGGCCTGTCGCGCACACAAACCAGCCCGTCCCTCTTAGCGCATTT